GTATCTACTTGAGGTAAATGTTCAACTCATATGCCTGTCTTTTGTTTGGCTGAAAACCACAGGTGCGGGTTTAATTCCAGACCTGAAGGGCAGTTAGGGGCCATAGTCTCAGTGGTCCTGTTGCCCATGTTTACGTTCAGTGCACATTATGCTACTCACCACACAAGTTTGACAGACCCTGTTTGGCAGGATCATGCGCTTGGATATCAAAGCAATTTGAAAATACTAAAGAGATCTTAAATACTCTCAATTTCTTACTTGTCATGTTGTGAACTAGTAAAAAACTAGTACAAGTCTGCAAGCTTGTAGCACTGCTGTGGGGCCCTCCTCACTCTCTATAGCCCCTAACCAGAATGATACATTTCTGTAATTGTAGTTCTCTCCTTTGTGAGAGTTGCCTTTAGAGAATTTTTCCTTCAACAAGAATGTGTCACTGTGAGAACTAGTCTAGCATTTTTTCTGGCTTTTCTTGTTACTTAAAAATAACCATTGCAAAGCTTAAGTTTAAATGTGAAATATTTATGTTACTCTCAAACTTTAAAGAGAATGCCTCTTTGTCCCTATATTCTGGATGTTAGAAAACAAATTTGTGCTTGTATGATTGATGTCATTAGTTTAGAATTGAATTCATACAAATTTGTAATGATAGGAACATTTTCCTCTGATTTGAGATATAACATCCTGGCAAGGGCTCCAGGAGATGGTTCAGGTCCATGGTTATGATGGCTTTTGAAAGGTTGAGAAAAATAATGGCTCATATTAAATGAAGTGGAGATGGTAGGCCATAGAGGAAAGGATCCAAAGGCTCAGAGGAATTGAGCATGCAAGAGTAAATACATTATATAATATCAGAACACTTAACAGCTAACAGTGTTCCTTGGGAAGGCCCAGAGAAAACTTTTTTGTGAAGGCAGTAAGAAATGCCTTGGTGAATGGATCACCAGTGTCGTTGAGAAGTTTAGAAATGGCTGTCCTCTGTGGGTTGAGGCTGATGGAAGGTGTTAAAGAACTGGTTTCCCTGGTAGTGGGAATGATAGAATTCTGGCGTAGCAGAGGCCAGATGGTAACACTTAACTCTGGGAAGCATCATGGGTAGCAAGGTCAGAATGGAAACAACTAATAAAACGGGTGGTCCTAGGGTGGGAGCAAGGTAGATGGAAAGGCAATGAGGGTGTTGACTAAAAAGATAAAGACTGTTGTACAGAAGGGTGAGGTCAATAACTTCATGGAAAGTCATTATAGACTGTTCTTAGACCCATAACCTATCAATTGAAAGGGCTCAGTTCCCCAAGAAGGAGCACCCTGCAACACTGTAGCAAGTGTATATAGTTATGCAGTAAGAAGTAAAGTGGGTAAGTCCCACTTCCATCATCAACTTTGGTAAGGATCAGCATGAGTCAAATCCCCAAAGTGTGGGAATAGATGCAGTCCTCATTTTTCCACTTTGACATCCTCATAGCCACAGCCCAAGTTGCACTGCCTCCACTACCCTAACCACCCTGAGCTGGGTCAGAGCTCACAAATTAGAACACCTTTCAGACTGTCAAACAGACAGACATCAGCTCCTGCTGGCTATCACTGCCCCTGTGGGTTCAGTAATTCTCCAGAACAACTCAAACTAACAGAAAGTATGCCATACTTATGTCTACAGCTTTATTACAACCAAAAAGGATACAAATGAAGTGACATACAGGGGGAAGTCTAGGAGGGGTCCCAGCATGGAGCCTTGGTATCCAAGGAGGGGTGTACTTTCCTCCCATGTATGAATATCTTTAACCAACCGGGAAGCTCTTCCAAGCCTTAGGGCTCCAGGCTCTTATCAGCCTCCCACATGACCATGATAGATTACATACCACCTAAAGATCTGTCAACATTGGCCTCTAGGTGACCTCTTGGTTTCATCATCCCTCCCTTTAGCCTCAGGTATAGTCCATTTCTCAGGAGCCAAGAACAAAAGCCAAATTCCTTTTAGCACCTCACAAGTAGAATTCCCCTGTCCTTCCCCAAAGGGACCTATAGCATTTACTCAGTTAACTACATACTAGGGAAATAATTACACCCACATTTCTTGAAGACTTGGATATAGTGTCTGAGTTAACACATGTACCTAGGAACCCAAAGCACCCTCAGACTACTCCTACCCCACCTCTTATCCTTGTTACAATTGGGGAGTAAGGGTGTCAGCTAATGAGTGCTGGCTCAAGTATCTCATGTGGGTCTAAATACCCACTTTATATAATTGGTCATTTTCTTGGTTTCCAAGTGTTTAAGTAGTGATATTGCCTCGGAAACCCAAGGAGGGGTCGCTATGAGTCGGGGCCGACTCGATGGCAAATAACAACAACAAACAGAATGGAAATATTTGGCAGTTGGCAAAAATGCCAAGTTGACACCCTGGAACTGCATCCCTAGTTTTGCCAAGATAGCAAATAAAAATATTTCATTCCGGGAAATTTAGCAGAAATTAGTGCTATCCTCAAACACTTAAGAGGATACATAGGTATTGGTCCCCATCATAGCTTTAGTTCACCTGTCTGAACCCTGCCAAAACTAGATGGCTTATGATGAATAACAGTGGACTACTACAAACTTAAGCAGTTGTCCCAGTTACAGTACAGTGCCAAATTTAGTTTCTTTAATGGAAAGAGTACAATGGTGTAGGTATGTGGCTATTTATCATAAGGATCAGCAAACTGTA